CGACGGCAAGCTGCAGGTCTACGACCCAGCGGAAGAACGAGTCGAAGAGACGATCTTTAGTGGGGAGAGCAACTTCGGGGTCAGCTTCTACGTAGAGAGTTTCATGACTTTGGACGATGAAAGTTTCAAGTCCTTAAAGAAGCAGGAGGTCGTATAATCTTTAATTTTACATAGTTTTTTCCCTGGCAACTTGATTTTGGATCTACTGCAAAATATAAAAATATATAAAAGATTCTAATTAAGTTATGCAACTAATTAGTTTTGAAGTGCCTATGATACAAGTTTATATGGAGGAAGGAAATCTTAGGTTATATATGCTGCGCTCGCTCGATCGATCCCTACAACAGCGGAGAGCAACTGGATTTTTTTTTTTTTTTTTTTTTGGCGGGGGGGAGCAACTGGATTTTTTTTTTTTTTTTGTTTGCGCGCGGTGGTATTGGATGTGCAGGTTGATGAGAAATAGTACTTTGCTCTTATCATGAGATTCATGATCAGGTGAGATACTTAAGTTATTTTTGGCAAGAAAGTTTGATGGTGTACATAAGTGGCCGTTTTAGGTATAAGGCGGAGGGTTTAAGGCTTGATTTGGTAAGGGGGGTTTGTGGTTACATTAATGATATCTAGAAATTATGCAGCTGATTTGCATTGTATGTATGTGGGAGGTACAGACTGTAGGAGGAGGAGGAGATCCTGTCTGGAGCGACGAGAGAGAACTAAATCAGCAATCCTGACAATAGGTAACTTTTAGTTAATAATACGGCCGAGGTGCGGCAAAGTTAATACGTCCTCCAAAATAGCTAATTGATACAAATTTTTTTTAAATCTTAATTGCAAAGTATTCTACTGTTTATGCATCCAAGTAGTAATCGGAAAGCCCACCAATTCTCCAAAGAATTCCGCTGTGCTCCTCCATGTTGATAAACACGTGTTCCCAACAACTTCGGTGCTCCATGGCATCTTCTGTAAATAGAAAAGCCTAAAATCGAGCTCTCTAATCCACAATTTAAGGGATTATGCAGTTGATAGGCCTTCCACACCTACATTTGTAAATAGGTTGAACTTAGAGGATAGTTTTGGAGTTGAAAACATCATAGAAAAGGATAAAACTAATATTTGAGAAGGGTTAGTTTTCTTCAACTAATTTCTCACTTGATCTTAAACAAAATCTAATTTGGCCGTATTCTATCATATTAGATTTCTCTCTTCTATTTTTCCTTCCATATTTATGACAAAAAACTGGTATTATAATGCAAAGTTGTGTTTAAAATAGATATTATTGTTCTTGCTTTTAGTCATATTGTGTAAAATTATGCATAGCATGCATATGTCAATTCCTTTCCTATCATTATAAAGAGGAATAAAATTAACCGTCGATTGTAAAATTACACTTTTATTTATATTTTCACTGAAAAGGTTTAGAACTAAGTTAGAGGATCTTTCTACATACTAACATTAACAATTTGATACCCCATTTACGAGAAAATATTCATTTAGAAATAAGTGTAATAAATTGTATTGATTTATATTCTTTTGTACATTGAAAAATCAAAATCTGAAAATTACACTATTATATGTTTGTTTAAACATGTATATAAGATCCAGATTAGGCTAAACTAAATTATTAATTTTAACTAAATCTAAAAAGTATACCATGTGCATTGCACGTGTGCAATTCACCTAATAAACGTGAAACAAGGGAGGTGAGTGAAGTGGTTATGGACAGAGAAATAATTGGATAGGAATTGAAAAGAAAAAGACAAATGCACCCTTGTTATTTTCAGCCCAAAATTTTAATTTTTCATCCATTTAAAAATTATAAAAATTCTTATTTTCGGAGCACCAAAGCATAACTCATTTAAATTTCAGAATGTCACATGATATCAACATGCTGCGGGGAGCCTTTCTTATTTCCTTGCTTTGTAGAGAGATCACCTGCTCTGGTCCAGATGTGGATATTTTTCGCAATTAGTGATTGACTGCAATTCAAGCTCACGTGCAAGCTCACGTGTACGTCAAGCCCACTCAATTTATTTTCATTTTTATTGAAAATTTAAAAAAAAAAGTTAAAGAAGCGTGATCTATCAGAAAAAAGTAGTTCAATTTCACTATAACTTCAAGGTATGTGTAACATAATTTTAATTTTCTACTAATTTTTTTATGTTAAATAAGTATTTTTTATGTTTGTTTTTTTTTTTTGATTTGTTTTAATTATGTTTTACTATGATAATAGATAGATGGAAGTCTCATAGGATCTTGAGCATTCTATTTGGAATGAGTAGAAATGATAGGATTAATAATACCATTGGGGGTTCTACATAGAAGGAAAGGATGTGGTGTCGCGTGACACCGCTTCCTCTAAACATGACCAATAATTATGAAGTTTTTTCATGTAATAAGTGAGATTGAATATTAACTCTAAGGTAGAAATAGATTTTATACCACTTATTAACGCTCCACATGACAGCTTGTGCACCCATTAGAAAAACACACGGATAAAATCTAAATGTCATAGCTAGGTGATGGATCCTCTCCACTACAAAAAAGTAGTGGAGAGACCACTACTTTTAATCTCAAGCGTTGATTATTTAGTAGGCGGTTATGATACAATCTAAATCTAACACTTACCATACCCCCGTGTATTGCACTCATTCCTAATTTGCACTAAAGGAAAAAATCATAACCATCAACTAGATAATCAATGGCTGTGATTATGTAGTGGTCCCTCTACTATTTTTTTTGTAGTGGAGAGGATCCGAATCCGGTGACTAAGCCCCCTAAGTGAGTTACGGGCTTAAAAATTTATAGTATCATCGTATCTTTGAAAAGAAGCAAATTATTAATAATAAAGATGTGATTACTTAGAAATTAAATGGAAATTCTGAAAAAAAAAGGAAAAGAAAAAAATAAAATAAAATACAGAACATGTGAAAATTCTAAACTTTAGGGGATGCTGCATGTAACCTTCTGAACTTTGTTTATCTCACTTAACCCCCCTGAATTACGGGGTGTCTCGCAAAACCCCCAAACTTTACATTATCTCACCTAGGCCTCCGACCTACAATTTGCAAATTGAGAGGGGGTTTAAAAACTCAAAATGTTGGGGGAGGGAGTACGTTACGTGAATAACAAGTGATGATGTCTGACATGTAGGGGGACTAGGTGAGATAAAGATATATGAGGCTGTTTGGTTGTTGTTGGTAAAATTGTGTATTTATGACACAACTTGGAAAGTTGTTGTCCACCTCATCTAAAATTGTGTATTTATGACACAACTTGGAAAGTTGTTGTCCACCTCATCAATTTTACTTGTATACTTTTCTTTGTTTGTTTTTTATTCCATTGGAATCATAAATTGTTTGTTTGGTTTGCAAATGTAACATTAATTATTTATTTGGAAAGTGTAAAAAGTGGTCTCTACTCAAATGATCATATTGGTTGGAATTATTTATTATTATTTTTTTCTGACTTCAATGTCAGCTTTCTCCTAAAATCATGTTTTTTTTATGAAATCACTTTACAAGCCACATCAGCATATGAAATCACTTTACACTATTTTCACAACTACAAACAAATAATTGAAAGTGATGAAAGCTGACATTGGGACCCACTTTTTTACAATTTCCATCCTTTTACATGGTAAAAACATACAACCAAACAGCCCCGTAGAGTTTGGAAGCCCAGATACACCCAGTAGTTTAGGGTGTTACGTTCAACAACCCCCAAAGTTTAGGGTTTTTTTTTGTGAAACTAACCCCACCTGGGGGAGAAAAGCGGGGGAAAAAGAAAAGGAAAGAAACCGATCACATCAGATCGAGACGGAAAGGCATCATGGCGTCGGCGAGCCTGGCCCCGAGCCTCTCCCGAAAGCTGAAGAAGGTGCTGGAGACTCGCTGGCGACCCTATCGACGTTCTACACCGACAACACGCTGCCAGCGCGCAGGAACCTCAAGTCCTCCATCGAGCAGCGGGCCCTGGCCATTGTGAGTTGTAATCAGTCCAAGGATTGTTAGTTAGTAGAATTCTAATTAGAGTAGAATACTAGTTAGTAGATAGTTTTCTAGTTATTGGATAAGATTAGAGTTGTAATCTTAATCCTATATATATGTAAACAATTGATGAGTTTTGTTAGAACGTGAATAATAGAAAACACAAAAAAGTTTCCTGCTCCATTACTTTTGTTGCTGCTCCTTCTCTGTTCGGGTTCAATATCAGAAACAGAGATTTTCTCCTCTGTTTTGCTGCTGTCCGTTCTCAGGAAATCTGCCAGTTTTTTTTTCGGTTGCTACAGTGTTTACAGGTTTGTAAATTGCTGTTTTTTCTAACTCAGTTCAGATCTGATCTCTGGCCGATCCTGTTAAAGAGCCAACAGCCATCAACCGCCACTTCCTCCTCGCCTCGCTCCCCGCTCAGCAGTCCCTCGACCGCGTAGAGGAGGAGGTCGACGCCCTCGCCCGCTGCTGCGACCAGTAAGCTAAAAAAAACCCCATCTCATCCCTCCGCTAAGATCTAGATCTAGCTCACTCGGCGCCTTTTTGTGAATGTGGGTGTTGAGATTTTTTTAAAGATGAATTCGATACCGTCGTTGAGTGTCCTCTGACGTTTTTTTGGTTAGAAAATGAGTTTGTGCCTTCGATTTTGATGTAGAAGAAATTGATATGATATTATTGTAGGCTTTCCTGTATTTGAATATTAATTCATCACATACGCTTGCTTAGCTTATTATTATGGTAGACAATGATCTTTTTGTTTAAAATTATCTTCTTAAGTCTGCTCCGTAGATCGGCGACCCTCTTGGCATTTTGATGGCCTAATATTTTGGCCGCCTGGACAAGCCTTTCGCCGTGCACATATTTTTTTATAGTACTACCATGGGAAAATGGTATTAACATATAAGAAGAAAATATGATTGATCCATCGCTAACCACGGTGAAAGATTATATATCATCATTATAACAGGTCATGTAATGTGCGGATTGCCATTAAAACTAAAGGGGCAAAAACCATCGCTAGCTAGTTCGAGCCTAATATTACGGGGATCCTGACTAAATATTGTGTGCAACTTATCGAAATCCTTCCATGCTGGCGAATATCTTGGATGACTCATTTTACCATGTTCACTTGGAATAGCACGGTCATGCCAAGTCATTGCCACCGATGTCTTCTTACACCTGTAGAGCCTCTGCAGTCTCTGTGTCACAGGAAAGTATCGTACCACCTTGACTGGTATGTCATTCTTGTTAGCATGTACTTTCTTCTTATATCTAGAAACTCCACAGTTAGGGCACTCTTTCAGTTTAGAATTTTCTTTCCAGAACAGCACACAATCATTAGGACATGCATGAATCTTCTCACAATTCAAACCCAGATCTGACATTATCCTTTTAGCTTCATACCAGCTCTGATGCACATTGTTCCCCAGAGGCATAGAATCTTTCAGGAATTTTAGAAGCATCGTAAATGACTTGTTGCTTCATTTATTTAGGCATTTAATCTGGAAAAGTTGAACGAATCATGATAGTGTGGAATATTTTGCATTCTCATAAATTGGTCTTTTGGCATCTTTCATGTACTTCTCATACTCATGTACATGTTCTTGTCCGGAAGGATGATCATCTTCAGCAAGATTGGAGTCATCAAAAGCAACTTCTATCATTTCCTCCATCTCCTCTTCTGGAAATAAATTTTCTTCATTGTCTTCTTCTTCATTATCAGTAATATTAGGAGCTAGGATTTCTCCGTGATATACCTAAATTGTATAATCCTTAATAAAACCATGCTTAACAATGTGAAGTTCTACATCTTCCTCCTTACGATGCAGTCTATTCCAACAATGACTACACGGACAAAGAATCATCCCATATTGGATCATATCGTGTTCACGCACAAAATTTATGAAAGAGGCAACTCCTTCAATGAATTCAGGCTTTGTGCGTTTTTCACGATTCACCTACATCCAATCCTTAACTCTGATATAGTTACGTGCCATACCAACCTAAATTAGTCAAAGTTAGCGATAAAAATTCTTAGAAAGTAAATTTAGCACATTAAAAATGTGACAAGATCAAAATAAAGATAAACAAGTTTCAAGAAAGTAAATTGTACAATTTAGCTTAGCAAGACTTTGCAAAGCACACAGACCAGGTTAATTTAATTTACAATGGGTTGCAACCGGTAAATATCATTCATAAAATGCAATACCAATTCATAATGACTAAATATGTAAAACTGACAATTCTTGATACTACAACTAAGCAATAAGCATACTAAGTAGAGATGTCCTTGTTTAGCTCAAGAAACATGAAGAATGTCAGATAGGGATATGCAAAGTTCTTGGAATAGAAAGTTACAATAATATACATCTAAAATAATAAACATAAAAGATGTCCCATGGACTGAGAGTTACTGTCCATGGGAAATGCAAAGTTCTATTAAATTGAAGCAATAAAAAAAGAGATTCAAAAAAACAGTGGATAAACTAAAGACCTTTTGTTGAAAAAACAGTGGATAAAAAAAGAGTTACTGTCTTTTTAATTTTTCAAGCTTTGGGAAGAAAACACAGTGAGCCAAACCAATCACAGTGTGGCGACTCGAAAGAAAATAGAAATCATCCAAGGTTTCCATAAGCTATTGACCTTTTGTTGATAAACTAAAGACCTGCATGCTTAGCTTCAATATGAAATTCTATAGAGAACCATGCTAGCTATTAACAATAGAGCAGATTCTCATCAGATCTAATGATAGGACAGTGCATTAATTAGTTCGATAAGGTTCTGTGAAGCTTAAAATACTACTAATCATACTACTAATCTAAGATAATAGAAATTAATGGTTAGATTCAAGCTCAGCATGCCTCAAGGAGCACATGATATTGGTCTAATGTACAACGAGGATTTCGTACAATGGACCACAAATCATAAAATTTTTTCTTTAATCAACTGAAACTATGGGCGCTTGCTAAAACCTAGATACTAATTAACATAAGAAGAATCCAATGATCATATATGTATCATTATATCTCACAAAGTTGTCATAACCTTCCAGTGTGTCCAAGGGGGAAGCATTGCTTCGTTCTGGTAGTAAGTAAGATGACATTTGGTTGGAAAAAAAAGGAGCAAGGGCTACTAGTTCGGCAAGCCAGGAGAGGAGGGAGAAAAAGGCACACAAAAACTTGCAAGGGAGAACACCGACACACTGATCTATTATATCTACAACCATCACATCAGAACCTCCATCCATGCTTTCGAGCACAGAAGAACCTCGCAACATTCAGCATGAATGCAATCCTTCCAAAGTTGACGCAAATCTCGTATAAGAATCAATTTGCCAAATTCCCCAAATTGTTGCTCTCATGAAACAACTCTCAGGTTAAACATAACCTGAAAGAATCAGTCAACATTAAACAAAGGCAAACAAAATAATTCACCTCAGCAAGAATTGCAAGTTCAAATTGACATCACCACACGCACAAGAGGTCACAAAAAAGCTGCGCGTAATAAACTGCTGAAAATAAACATAACCAGAATCCGTGTATCATAACAATCACCAACCAAATGTATCTCATACAGCCTAAACACTTAGAAACATGTAATCATCAACGATCCAGCGACTACTACATATTATCCCCTTTCCACCCTTCCTCAACCAAAGAATAGTAATTTATTTCAGATTGCCCCCCACCTCGAAACTTTTACAACAAGACAACCAGACTTGAAAAGTAGAAGCAAAGGCAAAGAGCTCCCGATCTTGCTAATTTTAAAAAGGTTTTATGAATTATTTTCTCTTCTATATCACACTAAAACCATTGATCCTCAAGTAAAACACAAACTTTGAATCTTCAGTCAAACTATAGCACGCCTATTGGGACCATATAGAAGATATTAGCTTAAAATAAACAAAGCTAGCGTTTGAAAAGATTACCCGACGGAAGCAGCGGTAAACTGAGGATTTAGGGCGAAAATGAGGAAGAACTCCGATTTAGGGTTTTTTGATGGGATTCGACGGTAAACTGGAGGATCGACGTCGGTGGTGAACTTCAGGGCTCGATGGCGGCGGAGAACTCTGACTGAGGCGGCGAACTCTGACGGAAGCGACGAGTTCAAAAAAACCCTAGTTCAGGGCTCGATGCAGGTTCGACGGTGGCGGCAAACTCCGACGGCAGTGGCGAGAGAGAGAAAGAACGGTGGTAATTTCTGGTTTCTGATGAGAGAGAGCGAGAGAGAAAGAGCAAGAGAGAGAGAGAACGGGCGAGAGAGAAGCAAGGGAGAGAGAGAGAACGGTAGTTTTGTGGGGATTTCCTAAAAATTCTTCTCTTTTTTGGCGAAAATATGGGGGTAAATTTCCCTCCATCAGGCGTTTTTGGCTAAATAAACTTGCCCCAATGGTTTAAACCGTTGGGGCAAGTGAAACCCGCCCCAACGGTTCTATACACCCGTTGGGGCTGGGCATCCTTTTACTAGTGATTGCATCCATTCCTAATTTGCACTCAAAGAAAAAATCATAACCATCAACTAGATAATTAATGATTGTGATTATGTAGTGGTCCCTCCACTATTTTTTAGATAGTGGAGAGGATCCGAATCCCTTTGCCGCACCCCGTATTATTAACTACAAGTTACCTGTCAGGATTGCTGATTTAGCTCTCTCTCGTCACCCCAGACAGATCTCCTCCTCCTACAGTCTGGACCTCCCACATACAATGCAAATCAGCTGCATAATTTCTAAATATCAGTACCGTAACCACAAGCTCCCCTACCAAATTAAGCCTTAAAACCTCGGTCTTATACCTTAAGGCTGCGTTTGGCAAGGGTATAAAGGAGGAGTTAAGGGGGTTTAACCCTTCATTAAACTGCCAAACACAAAAAAAAAGCCCAAGGACTAACAAACCCGCACGTGAGCGTTTTATCCCATTTAACCCGTTAACCCAAGGGTTTACTAATACTCGTGAGAAGGCGGAACAAGACTTGTTCAGCCTTCTTACGCGAGGGTAGCCAATGGAATTTAGGAAAAATTGATTTCATCTGGATCTTTTGATGGCCGGCTGCGGAATTCGGTAGCAAAAATCGGAAGGTAAGATCTTGAGAGATCTCTGTAAAAAAATTTCCCAAATGTGTTTTCCTCTTTTTTTTCCCTCCAAAATTTCCCTCTAATATTTCCTTCTACTTTTTTTCACCTGGGAGATCTTTCACAACTATTAATATGGATATTTTATGGGGAACAATCAAGAAGAGGAAAATTTTCCGCCGATTGGGAGCAATTGGTGACGGGAGGCAAAGGATCTGAGGTATGTTATCTAAATAAATTCCTATTTCTTGATTTTCATACTTTCTCCTTACCTTTGTGAAAATGGAATGATTTTTATGCTTGTGTACAGTTGTAATCAAAGAAGCCTTAGCCATGGCATATATGTATAATCAAGCACATCATGTTTACGCTAATTTTATACACATGTACCGGAAGAAAACTCAAATTAAGTTCATGTAATTTTGTTTATGATTTTTTTTTCTAGTCTGTTGCAATTAATCTTTGTTGGTATGCAGATGTTACAAGCTTTTGGAGAACCTTATAGCTTTCGATTATGAATTTGACACTTCTCTTAATTGATTTATTTAGTGGTCCCTAATGTGATACATGTAATAACAAACAAAATTTATCTAATATGTGCAAATTTTAAATTTGATTTTTTATTCGTTGAAGTAAGATAGATTCACCTCATATTCTCATAGTTAAAGGCAGCAAAGAATTCACCGATTTTTAAATGGCTAGATTACTCAGCTATCTTCTTGGCTATTTTTATGCTAAAGTATTGTTTCCATTTCATACTATTAATTTGATCACAGCCTAATAGTTGACAGATAATCAGTAGCTTAGTTTGTATATTTTAGTTAGGTAACAGCCAAATGGAATACAATAACACAGTGAGAACCTGGAGGTTTAAGGACCTGTGATGTTTAGAAATACAATCCCAAAATAAAGATAACTGGTCATATGAGCTAAACAAGATTTTACTAGATCAAGTCCTTGTTTCTCAAGCTGTTCTTGATGCATACAACATTACCGATGTACATTGTTCACATCTATATCTTATAAACTGAACTGAGATGAAAATCCGAAGAGAGTAGTTTTTGCTAGCAAGCTTTTGTTTGAATTCCTGTTGGTTACAAGTTTTCAATTGTTTAGTGGCTTCAAACAAATTTTTTGTCTGCTATTTGTGACATAAGGAAAACAATATAATGTATTTGACAGGCATCGTGTGACATTAAAAAAATGTAGCTTGTTGTTTTCTCAAAATTAACCTTCTCATTGACTGATATTAAAGAAATATAATATTTTTTTTATTATGGAAATATGCCACAACAATTCCTTCATTATTTACGTTAAATCAATTTATTTAGGTTAAACTAGAGAGAGACAGACATCTTTCATGTTATTTGACATCTGTGTGCTTGATTTTATTTGAATCATCGAGCACTCAGATAAGCAATCGATCCTTTGGCCAATCAAGTTGACACACCGTAGATATTGATTGCTCGTATACCTGTCATATACATGAGAATAATTTGAATCTAGCAGCAAATTGATAATAGGACAATAAATACTCTGAAGTAGGGTGATATGAGCTATTTTACCTCTCTCTCGTAGCACATTGGAATCTGAATTAAAACTATAGGGTGCCCATCCTCAACATCAGCCTTATAAGGATCACCTTCAATTATCGGTTTGATCTTCTTCAACTTGATCCAAAAGCATCCGAGGCACAAAACATAAGATTTAGGTTAGTTAGTTGAGTGCACAATATCTCATGCATCGGGAATTTTTAGGATTTTAATGCAATTAGTTTTGCATTAGATATCATGCAGGGAATGCTCCCAAAGGATCTTGCGTCCACTTTATCTTGCCTCTCTTTCAAATAATGCTTGGTTTTCCCTTAAACTATAGATGAATGTGTTTTCAATATTAAAGTCTGCATTCATTTTCATAGTTGTTCATGCTGGTACATCCTCGTCCATTTGTTTTCCATGAAACTTTGCCTAAAAGATTGAGCAATTTTCAACTTTGCAATGGTGTTTGCATGGTCCTTGTTAGGCTTATACTGGTTGTAGAAAATGCATAACCTTCTTAAGTAAGTAATCCTAGGGATCTCAACGTAATTGGAATGGGATAGGTACCATAAGAAGCATGTAAATTCATAGTGGACAACCATTCACTTAACTGCTTTGAGTGAGTTTGTTAGTCCCCATGGTAAATCCTCTAAATGTGGGTTATTCTTAAACGCACTTTAAATTCATTACACAGTTCAGATTATACCCATGAATATCTGACTTGGATATTGTTACCTGGAGTTCAGATATCTTTTAGCATTATGAACATGCTAAAATTCTAAATCATGAGGATGAATTCATCTTAACAGATTGTCTAATTTTTTCGTTTTTAATATTTTTGAAGATGAATTCATTTGAAGATATTGCAAGCGATCTTAGTGTTGATGATATTGAACTACTTGATGACGAAGATGATCTAATAGAGGCATTGTTTTTGAATGATGAAGATGAGGATGAGTACATGTGGAACGAGATGATTACAAGTGTCATTAATCAATCAAATGTGATGAAGCAGGTTCCTCGTCCATGTCGAACTAGACCATTCTCTGGTCATATGCTTGTAGAAGATATGTTGGCTGGACATCATGATCGTTCATATTCTTGCTTCCGAATAAGTTCCGAGACAATTTTTTTTGCTAAAAAATGTTCTCATTAAGAAGAATGCTTTAAGGCTAACTAGATATTTAAGCTGCAATGAGCAACTATGTATATTTTTATATGGAATTTCACATGCCCTTTCAAATCGAGTATTAGCTGAGATATTTCAACATTCAGGAGAGATTATTAGCAGGCATTATAATAATGTGCTTAATGCTACATTATCTTTGAAACAAGATTATATCCAACTTCTCATGGCTGACGTAGACGTTCATCCTAAGATACGAGAAAATCCCAATTTCTTCCTATACTTCAAGGTAGAGCTCTTAACATATATTTTATGAAATCTTTTTCAATGTGTATGTGTGTATTTTTATCTGTACATAGAACTTTATATTTTTTTTTATATTTGCAGTAAGCATTGGGAGCAATTGATGGATCTCATATTCCTGCAATTGTGAAGAAAAAGAAACACAACATGTATCGTAATCGAAAGAATTTCATATCTCAAAATGTAATGGCAGCATGCTCCTTTGATCATACTTTTCTTTATGTTGCTGCTGGATGGGAGGGATCAGCATCTGATATGTCAGTACTTCGTGCAATACTGGAAGATGGTAAATTTAATGTTCCTGAAAATAAATTTTAATATTTTTATTTTTTGGTTTTTTTGGAATCAATTAGTACTAAAGTCAGATAATTGTAAATATGTAGGTCGTTTTTACTTAGTTGACTCGGGATATGCTAATACTTCAAAATTTATCGCCCCATATTGTGGATCACGCTATTATCTTGGAGATTTTACAAATGGGACCACCAGAGCCTATCAAGATACTAAAGACAAATATAATCATAGACATGCACAACTACGTAATGCAGTGGAAAAGGCATGGGGAATTTTAAAGCAAAGATTCAAAATTTTGAAAGTTCCAGCTCCATTTCCTTATAAAACTCAAGTCAAAATCTTTGTAGCTTGTTGTGTTCTTCATAATTTTATTGCAAGGCATCAGGGAAATGATAAATACTTTAATATGCTCAATGGATTAGAGATGAATGAGGATGAAGATGAGGAGGAAGAAGAAGACCCCCAATACATTGTTGATGCAGATGAAAGTATAAGGGGGGAGCAGCTTCGCAACAGGATTGCTTTACAGCTTTGGAATAATTGATATATGTAGTTGTCGAATATTAAAGTATAAGTAGTGCATGTTTGATTGCTAAGTTTTTTGGAATAAACCTGTAGTCAATATGCAGGAGCTGGTTATTTTGCTATTTCACTTTGTTTGCTTAGCTCCTGAGTATTATTATGTAATACGTTTGATTGCTCAAGAACAGAATGAAGTAAAATTTAGTGCCAAGTGGATGGTATCATCAAGTCCATAATTTGGTAAGTTTCACAGATATTTATATAGTTATTTTGTAGATCAATGTTTGTTGAAGGACTGAAGATCAAGTCTGTTGAAGTTTTGCTCATCTTTTTCTATATTGCAGAAGGACACGATTTGCATAAATCACAATTGGTTCGATGCTTATGACCTTTAGCCTGCTGTGCATGTTTTTGGCTTATCCATTGCGTCCTAGTATAAGAATATATACATAAATCAAGCTACAATGTGTCCATCTTGTTTTGGCATGGAATCTCCTGTTGTTTGGGGCTGTGTACTGCTGGAAATGGACCTCTTTGCACTTTGGAAACCTGATGAGCTTTGCTTGCATCCCTATTAAGTACTACGCCATGTTCTTGCATACTACATCTCTGTACTTAATGCATTAGTCCCAGCTCTTTACTCCATGGTATGTACATGTTTCAGGTGTGTTTAGTTTTCTTTGGACAAGGTGCTTTCTTTGGTTTTTGTGTTTCCAGCTTGGTTTTGGATTTTGGTTGCTATCTTGCTGCTGGTTAAGTTGCTGGAACTGGCTTTCGTGCAAGTTGGTAATCACTGTAGCTAGCGGTGCAATGCTCGAGGGAATGCATTTGGCGCTTTTTTCTTTTCTAAATTACTGTAGCAGCGAATTTTGTTGGCTCCTTTCGGTCATTGACTCTAGCTGAGTGTTTTGTTTTGTGCTATGTTTGTGCTGCTTGCTTGTTTTCGGTTGATTGGATAGCCTTGTCCAGCCGAATCTGGTTGCTGAAACATTGGTGGCCGATACTTATGATGGGTTTTGGGTTTGTGGTTTCCTTTTTGTGGATAGTTTATGCAATTGGCAAGAACATGGGCTTCGTTTTCAGTTTCTGGATTTGGCGTTGCAAATCTAAAATCTTTGTAGCTGGAGCTACATTATCATAAGCTCACTAGTCTCTTGTAATATTTTTTTGTTTTAATAGAACCTTTTGTAAAAGTGAGGTTGTCTCACTTATGATCTGCTCGCTCTCACAATGAGAGGCGAAACTATATTAATTCCTTTCAGTTAATGATATCTACTTTTGTTATGTATCCATCTTGCGCTAATAATTAATCTAATGATTCTAAACTTTTACCATCTTCAGAGAAATTTACTATTAGAATCCTATAAAAATCCGTGTTATGTAGATTCATGTTACGATTGTTATTGAATATACGTATGTGTTTATTTATAGTCTATTTTTTTTGTTTTTGATGAGGTAATTATTTAAAAATCTCCAATAAGAGCGAAAGTGGTATTTTTTTAAAATATAATGAGATTAATCTCCTTAACCCCTCTTCATTTGCCAAACACAAAAGACTTAACCCTTTGTCTTAACTATTGTATCCAAACGGGTTTAGAATTTTTTTAACCCTTCAGGATAGATTAACTAAGTTAACCCTTCTCGTTAATCTCTTCTCCTTAACCCTTTGCCAAAACAGGGCCTAAACGGTCATTTATGTGCTTCTAAGTATCCCACCCGATCATGAATCTCATGATCAGAGCAAAATACTATTTCTCATCAACCTGCACATCCAGTACAACTGCAACAACAACAAAAAAACACAACAGTGCACAAATTAAATCTCTACTTGCACTAGAACCAGAAACAAATGTTTAATTAATATGCAATCCACAATCTCTTAGCAGGAATAGAATACACATAACGCGCCAATCAGAAAAATCCAGTCTGTACAACTCTACAAAGTTGTTTAACTTGGAAAGGCTGAACATGTAAATATTAAGAAAGGATGAACATGTTGCATGACTTAGAATCTTTCATATATTTTTATATTTTGCAGTAGAAATCAAGTTGCCAGGAAAAAACTAGCTACATGTAAAAAGATTATAAGGCCTGCTTCTTTAACGACTTGAAACTCTCATCGTCCAAAGTCATGAAACTCTCTACGTAGAAGCTGACCCCGAAGTTGCTCTCCCCACTAAAGATCGTCGCTTCGACTCCTCCTTCCGCTGGGATGTAGACCCTGCAGCTTGCCAGTCGAACCTCTCCAACAGCGCTTCTCGTTCCTTCTCACCGTCTGAACCGGAACCGGATAATGAGGATAGCCAGCATCGATCGATGTCTGTACGGCTTCACCCACGACTGCCAGCTGCATGTCACGCCTCCTCCTCCAGCAGCCACAGATCGACTCGCGATGGCCCCGAGCACTCCATGCACAGCGATCCGCCCAGGCGCGTCAGGCGAAAGCCCAACACATCATCATGAGAATCCTGTGAGAAATGTCTTATGCCGGGCAGCGGTAGATTTGACCATTCCTCCTCCTTGAGATCAAACCGGGCTATTGCCTCGTTGTCGTCGTCCTGCAGATCAGCGACAGCACTGACAGGCAGCCCCATTGTAAAAATACTTGGCAGGAAATGGACTGCTTCGCCGACGACGACGGCCGAGTTCTCGTCATGAACCCAAAAGGGGGGCCCCTCCTTCTGCCTCCATCTCCCTGACCCAAGTGTGAAGACCTCACTTCTAAAGTGCTGGTGACTGGAGCAGAAGGAAAGAAACACACGGAGCACCTTGTATTCCCCTACAGAAGGAAGGTAAGCGAATGCCACCGCGTGGCCGCCGTGCACCGTGCTGCGGAACCCCGAAGATTTCCTGGGCAAAGCGATCTCCTCCCTGGTCGCAGGGTTTCGGATGTAGATGTCGTCGGAGCCGTACATGCAGACGACGGTCGAGGCAGGTGAAAGGAGCAGAAGACGAGCCTCCTGTTGGACCGCGACGCTCATCGCCGTGCGTATTAAGCCCGTGGTTTGCACGGTCCAAGTAGGGCTCCCTCCTCGCTTCTTGTAGTTCTAGCGCGTGAAAAGTGGTTCGGCGCCGCTATCCCCCCCGTCGCTCTCGGAGGTCGCCACAAGGAGGAGAGGGTTCTGTTCGGGATCGGCGCCGGCGATGGGCGACCTGAAGGAGGGGCTTGGAGATGAGGGAAGAGCCATTGATTTTGGACACCAGTTTTGGAAGCGCTGAGAGGGTTTCTTCACGGGGAGAAGAGTGAAGGAAATGTAGGGACTACGTCGAGAGGGAGGCCGACGACGGCCGTTCGACTTGAGTATTCGTCGTTGATTTCAGAGGGCGGGCCATGTTAGATAGATAGATATCAGCAGCCAGTAGGAGTTTTAGGGCCTTTGCTGATTGATGGGCGGAGAGTGGGGCAGATAGGAGAAGGAAGAGAGTGCCCTGTGTGTAAAACGTGGGGAAGAGAGAGAGAGAGAGAAGTGGGGAGGGGTAACACCCCCACGTTACACACACTCTCTCTCTCTTCAATTTTGTTTTTTTTTTCTTTTTTTAAAGGGGCCCACTTACATGAAAATGAAAAGGCTACGAGCCTATACTTGAAATTTAAGAAAAAAAAATTTTAAAGGGACCACATATGAAAGTATTGTATTTTGAAGATTGGGTTTAAAGACAAATACAAAAAGTAAATTAGGTTTAAAGGTACAACTAATAATGGATGAGTTTAAAGATAAAGATAAGTAAACAAATAAGCTTAGAAACAAAAACCCTTACTAAAAGTAAGGTATTCTTGAAAATAGTTAACTTTTCTTTTTTCTCCTTCTTCATGTTTTTTTTTTTATCAAGACATGGCCATGACACCCTGCCCATACCTTGTCAATTAACCCTATGATAGGATTGGGAGACATCAAAAGTGAGGGTATGACAGTGGTAGGAATGGGTCTGTACTTGATTTAGAATTTTTTTATTTAGATGTTAACAAATAATTGTAACTTGGGTCTGTACTTGATTTAGAATCCTGCTTGATGTCTCCCATAATCATCATCAACAATTCATAAGGCTCTCAAGCAGGTAAGCCGAGGATTGACATCTTCAAGCAAGTTGTTTTGTAAAGAGAAGCAGCTACTAGAGAAGCAGGATGCTACCCGAAATCTCAAAGCTCCTCGTCTCCTCGCTGCTCTCCCTCCTGCTGATCCACGACACCGAATCAAAAGTCACCGACGAAGACGCATTGCTCGCCTTCAAGGCTCAGGTCTCTAGCAACCCTTCAAGCTCTCTTCGCTCGTGGAGCCCGTCAAACTACACTCCCCATTTCTGCAGCTGGACCGACGTTCTCTGCGGCAACCGCTAACACCCGACTCGAGTAACTGAGCTATCCTTGCCTCGGATGAACCTGACGGGCTTAATATCACCAGACTTAGCAAACCTCACCTACCTCCGAACCCTCAACGGCTCAACCTCGCATAACTCCGAATCCTAGACCATTAAAAAAAGGGAAAAATGCTTCCAGCCCCCCAAAAGCCAAGAAAACGTGCTTCTCACCCCAAGACTTTGTCAACGGTTGTTTTTCCCTAAAAATAAAGATTTTGTTCTCTGAGCCCCCAAAACACAAAACCCAAGAGATTAAAATATGTGAAGACCATAATACCCTTCCCTCTCCCTCTCTTTTTATCATGATGTACTGAGATGATAGTTGAAATGATTGATGGTGATTATTTTATTATGTTTTTTTATTATTTTCGTTGTTTGTATTGGGAGATTGTTAAAGTTACAGGTTAATTGTTAAGATTACAAGTTAATTGTTAAGGTTACAGGTCAATTTTTAAGGTTATGAATGCTCTCTCTTGTAGGGTCTAATTTTGCTTATGTATACCAAGTGTAGGATCATGATCCTTAAGAATAGAGTGTGCTCTTATAAAAATCTGTGGAAGCTTTACACTTAAATACTAGAGGGTGAGTTTGCAAAGTAGATTATAAATTGCAAAGAAAGAATGCAAACTCAGAAAACGAACATCACAAATATAAGTATGTATACTGGTTCCATCTCCCCGGTGTACATCCAGTCCCCAAGCAACTCCCGCTTGAGAGTTTCCACTATGATTTTAAAACCTTACAAAATCAAAAGCAAACTTGACCATTTTGCAAGATCATGCAAATTGCAAACCTAATTGACAAGACCATGCCAATTATAAACTGTAGGCTGTCTAAAAATCACAATAGATAGCTTTTCCCCCATCAACCACCGATGATGGAAGTTAC